ATATAGGTAGAGACACATACAGGGAGAGATACAGATTTATATAGAGAGAGAGAGAGAGAGAGGGGGGGGGTAAAGTGAGAGAGAGAGAGAGAGAGAGAGAGAGAGAGAGAGAGAGAGAGAGAGAGAGAGAGAGAGAGAGAGAGAGAGAGAGAGAGAATTTACCAGAAGGCGAGGTCCACCACAAGTTTCATTAGCCACATAGCATTTCAATTCTCAGGAATTCTGGATAATATTGTGTTGCATTTTGTGTTATTTTTAAATATTTCACATCAGCAAGTAAATAGTCTTGCAAATAAGGGGGTTGAGGTATTTGCTAAAAAGGAGCCTGCAAACAAGAGAACCGATCATTGGTGATAGTGGAACGTAAAGATATTCGAGCCTGAGACAAAACTTTTTTTCATCGTTTACGTGGTCTGAGCTCTCCGTGTTTCTCGTAGTTTTCTGGACCTATCGTTTCAACACGATCAGAATCTTTTACTCCATTCTGCCTGACCTAGAGAATGGCAGCCCTGAAGGTGTCAATGTCAGCTGCATAAATAGTTTATATTTGGCGTACATCCTCGCATAAATAACTTTGTCAGACATAGGCGCACGCTCTGTCACTCTGTGCTGCGGTGTGCTTATAATGGGAAAGCCTTTTGATATGAGATATTCTTACTTGGTCTTACTAGCCTAGTGTTTCAGAAAGATTTGACAGATTCGGGAAACATGTCCGCAATTTAAAACGTAAAAGGGGGGGCATAGCATCTGTATTTGGCTCGTTGTCATTATGGATAGGTTAAGCAGGACAAATAGAAAAAAAAGGCTTTTTAGTCTACACTGACATTTGTCGGTCCATAAAGTTGTCGATTTTCCTTCTTTTAAAAAAAATCATAAAACATTTTTTTTTCTGAAATGTATCACTGACTCGTAGTAATTTTGTTTTCATCAACCACTTTTTCAGGTAATTAGATTTTTTTTTTTTTACCTCTCGGCCTTCGCTTGGGTCATGAGTGTCGTGAAATGTATTTCAGACAAAAGCTTAATAAAACAAAGTTATCAGTAAACAATATTGGTACAATTTTCTGACAGAAAAAAAAGGAATTAAAATATTAATTTTGGAAGCGTTCAAATCTGATAAAAGCCAATATTTATTTATGGTTTTCTGACTGTATCTTTGAGTATGCTATGAGTCTCCCGTCTAACTTTTCCGGCCACCGCTCGCCGCACACACAGAATGAAGTACCGGTGTCTATGGTGTAACTGTTGGCTCATTGTCGTTGCACGCAGGTGTCAAGAGTTCGATCCCGAGAGCGGAAGTTATTGTATTCAGTTCAGTACAACTGCTTGTCCTGCTTAACCTCAGTTGGTCCTGATAGGTGGAGTCGAAGCTGCCTGCTGCTTAAATGGTCTAAATTTACCAAACATATTAATGTCATACATACAGTTTTTACGAAGAGGTAATACGGGTGCAAAGCATGGACAATCAATAGACAGCTGGAAAGTACAATTGAGGCGACAGAGTTGTGGTTCATAAGACGCATGCTGTGTATCCCATGTACATCTAGAAAAAACTAATGAAGAAGTCTTGGTTGAAGCAAATTGCAAACGACAGCTTATGACGAAAATACGAAAAAATTTCATTGGACACACAATGCAGAAAGAAGCATTGGAGAATATTGTAATAACAGGCAAGTTTGACGGAAAGAGGGGCAGAGGCAGACAGAGGGAAAAGATACTGGACACGTTGACAACATGGCTGGGAGCAGCAAGAACAACAGACACCATTGCTGCAACGTAAGACAGATGGAAGTGGAGGTCCATGATCGCCCACTCCAGTCGGCAAGGCACCGGATGATGAATTGTAATATCATAAGACGATAAAAGTTGGTTTGATTTTTTAAAATGTGGAGTACAGCCTTCTTGATCTAACCCGTGGGTACCGGCGTCTGTGGTGTAACGGTTAGGCGCTTCACACACAGAAGACCAGAGTTCGATAAATATGTCGGAAGAAATTTTATTGAGCATCTCAATCTTTCTGCTGGAATGATGTATCCATCTCAGCACTGTTTGTCCCTAATAGGTCAGGATCGAAGTCCGCTTACTAAATTATCTCAATTTAGTCGATGAAGGCGTGAAAAATACCGAATTTTAAAACAAAAGTTTAATTCTTTCTGTACCAAGCACCGACACAACAGTTCGTTTCTCCACACTGTTTGATTATGTGCTGATAACTTGTGGCACATACAGAGTTAAGTAGTTAAGCCATGGGTGTATGACTGTATCTCCAGCTTCCTCAGCTGGACAGCAGTAGCTTGACAGAGTACGGCGAGCTGCGACTGGCTCATCTACAGCTGTGTATAATCACGTGCGGATATGTCTGGGAGCAAGGGACAGGAGCACCACCCGTGGTGAGTGCGTCTATCTATCTATCTATCTATCTATCTATCTATCTATCTATCTATCTATCTATCTATCTATCTATCTATCTATCTATCTATCTCTCTATCTGTCTATCTGTCTGTCTGTCTGTCTGTCTGTCTGTCTGTCTGTCTGTCTGTCTGTCTGACTATCTATCTGTTCAACGATGGTACACCTTTCTATCTTTTTGCCAACGTTACAGGGCTATAATAATTGTTATGTTATTATTGTTTCCTTTCAAAATAATAATATCATGCTGTGGAATGTGCCATGACTTTCAAAAAGGGAGCACGTTGTAAGGGCTGTGAGTGCAGCCCCAGCTTCGCACATGACAACGTTTTCAATAGGGCGTGATCACTAAATTTGACAGTAGTTTTGGTAAGTGGACAGGGGGGAGGGGTTGGTATATTGCACAGTTTTTTAAATTTTGTTTTGGGATGGTTGTTTTATTTTGTTGGTTTGTTGCTTGTTTGCTTGGTTAATTGGTTGGTTGATTAGCTGGTTGTTTGATTGGTTGGTTGGTTGGTTGGTTGGTTGGTTGGTTGGTTGGTTGATTCATTGGTTAGTTGGTTGTATTTGTTCATTTTTTAAATGTGTGTTTTTGCTCTTGTTTTTGTTTTTGTTTTTGGACCACTTTTTCGTGTACTTTTGTTTTCGTCGTTGTTTTTATTTTTGTTCTTTGTTTTTGTTGTTCTTTTGAGCGGGGGTGGGGGAGGGGGGTTTAAAGATAGTTTTAGAAAACTTGACTTGATAAAAATACGGTAAACTATGACGTAGCATAGCTCCATGAACCTCTGATGTACCCCAGCCTCTGTTGCCTGCGTGTGTGGCCGTCCCTTTTCATGACGTGAGCAAAAAGCTGGGGATGACGCCAGTCATAACCCACTCGGACGTCGCAGCGAACTGGGAACTGATAGACGAAGATGGGTATGTGCTCTCTAGTTACCTTTAGTTTTCTTTTCAGGGCTTTATAAGAAGGAAATACAGTAGTACTTGCCGAAGACAACCATCTTTTGTTGACGAGAAAAGTGGTCATCTTAGACAGGTGGTCCTTTTGATCCGTGTCATTATACGAGGGTGGATCGGAAAGTAATGTAGCCATCTGACGGCTGAGTTATCGGCTTCAGCCATAAAAGTAATACACATAATTAATCAAGATAAGACAAGATAAGACATATCGCTACCTTAGAATTACAAAAGTTCTGTCTGCTCGATCAGTTCCTAGTTATGAGAAATTTGACGTTAAAAATGTTGAGTTTCCCAACTTGTCAAGGTTATTCGAATGCAATTCTTTGAATATCTTGATAACGACGAGAAGAATCTTACGATTTTTGCTAGAGCAGAAAAAGCATGGTTTCTGACCTCAGGGTCTAAGTAACTCAAAACAGCCAAAAATGTCAGAACGTTGTATTTCTAATGTAGCATTAAAACGTGTCTACTCTCGGAGCAACTGTAAGTGTTAAAAAAATTTTAATACACCAGAGTGCACCTCTACGAAATAATATTTTTATTATGTACAAGTCTAGACCCTGTGGCTGTACCTTTATTGATTTTTTAAAGCATCCTAGATCATGTTATCTGACCTCGATACCCAACACGATGCGATGTGTTTCACTGGCACAGTTTTATACACTGTTGTCGTGCAGTACTTAATTTCCAAAACTTTCGCAATTTTCCTGACTGATTTAAGTGATTTGTTCTACTTGAAAGTCTCATTCTGTAAGTGGAAATAAGAAATCTTATTCTTATTCTTTTTTCTCACGATTTTGACGTCTTATATAAATCTAAGTCAACCTTGAAATCTGTTTAATTTTGTCTTGAAGAAGAATGTCTTGTAAAAACCTGTTTTCTTTTTTTTCAGGCCTTTGACTAGAGAGTAAGTATTCAAAAACATGATTGTTTCTCTCTCTCTCTCTCTCTCTCTCTCTCTCTCTCTCTCTCTCTCTCTCTCTCTCTCTCTCTCTCTCTCTCTCTTCCCCCTCTCTCCTCCCCCCTCTCTCCCCTTCCCCCCCTCTCTCTCTGCTCTTTCTTCTCTCCCCCCTCTCTCTCTCACTTTCTCCCTCTCTCCCTCTGCCTTTGTGTCGTGTAATGACTAATAACTACGCTCTCTGCCCTGCGCGCAGAAGACGTGAGTTCAATGCCCCTTTTGTAAGTTCCCTGTATCGAGGAACTATGTTTCTCTGCTGATGAACAGTACCCCACCCAACCTGGCTAAGCCTTGACTCACAGAACCGACGCAGTCTTATGTCATTCTAGATATAATTCACGAAACTTTGTCGACTTACGCTATGTCTCCTTATGCGTTACGCGACGTTTGATCGCGCGACAGTCGCTAGTG